CCAATGCATTAAAGCAATACCAATCAGACCTGTAAGTTGCTTCTTGAACTTACTATTTCTCAATAAGCATATGATAATGAATTTTAAAAACCTGGTAACTTTATTCTTTGTAGAGTTATTTTAACTTTGTCCTCTTTTTATGGTTGACAGTCCATTACAAAGGCATATGGAAGAGTTGATGCTGATGGTTCTAGATATTTACTCGGCGATCATGCTGGGCTTCTTCACCTACTTGTTATAACCCATGAGAAAGAAAAGTATGTTATCTTCAATATTTTCCTGGATGCTTGATTAGATTAACAGAAAAAAACTTCCACTCTGTACATTGTGCATAACTTCGATATTTTTGTTGTCTTATGTTTCTGTCTTACAGGGTTACTGGACTAAAAATTGAGTTATTGGGGGAAACTTCTATTGCCTCAACAATATCATATCTCGATAATGCAGTTGTTTATATTGGCTCAAGCTATGGAGATTCACAGGTGTTGCTATGTTACTGTTGCCTCCTTGTTTGTTGACTTGGTGCTTGTTAATTCCATATATATTTCTCTTCTCTTCATCTAAATCTCAAGTAATACTAGGTAGTGTTTCTCCTCTTATCTTTTTGGAGAATAGCTTATCTTCATCTCGATTGTATATCTCGTAGCTAATATTTTTATATTCTATTAACAACCTTAAACTTGTAAGATGATAGAGAAGTATGCCAGATGATCCTGTTTTATCATATACATGTATTGGGATGCTTGTTTCTAAGGATTTTTAAGTCTATTTGTTGAATATACATGTGGCTTATTCTACTCATATCAATTTATTTATGGGTGTTTTACTTTTGCATTAAAAAAGAAACTAAAGAAAACTAAAAGTATGGGTTTATTCTTTTATTCTGAATTTAAAGCTTACTCGAGCCTTATCATTATTTATAATGCACAATTATTTTTAAACTCGAATCTTAATGCTCAAATCTGGTGTCAATACAGCTTGTAAAGCTAAATCTACATCCTGATGCAAAAGGTTCCTATGTAGAAGTTCTAGAGAGATATGTCAATCTGGGCCCAATTGTTGACTTTTGTGTGGTGGATCTTGAGAGACAAGGCCAAGGTCAGGTTGTGACTTGCTCTGGAGCTTATAAAGATGGTTCTCTTCGCATAGTTAGGAATGGGATTGGAATCAATGAACAGGTTATATTTATTTTCTTGGTTCTTTTCTTGTTTATTGATGTTTCACTGTGATAAGTTTACTCTTGTTTGAAATTCTCACCTGTGTATTTTTGGAATATAATAGGCATCTGTTGAACTTCAAGGAATTAAAGGAATGTGGTCGTTGAGATCGTCTACTGATGATCCATTTGACACCTTCCTGGTTGTTAGTTTTATTAGTGAGACTCGTATATTGGCTATGAATCTGGAGGATGAGTTGGAAGAAACAGAGATAGAGGGTTTCTGTTCTCAAGTGCAGACTTTGTTTTGCCATGATGCTATGTACAACCAACTTGTACAAGTAAGGCTTTTCTTTTCCTTTTTCTTCTCCAGTTTATGCTTTAACAGGCAACTCACAATGTGTCTGAGAGATTTTAGATAAGATAAGCTAGGATTATAGGATTTAAAGTAAAAGAGTGGAGGGTTTAGAATAAGAGTTTTAATGAAATTTTGTTTGGGAGTTAATTATAATAAAGAAAACAAATGGAGGTTTGAGACCCATTCTTGTTGGTTGGATAAAATAGAGTAAGGGTTTCTCTAATATGAAAAGAATATCCTCATTTGGTAAAAGATAGTTATGTTATATGTAGGGTGGGCATTTAAGAAATTTAATTATGGAAATATTACTAAAACGTTTCCACCCCCTTCTGGCCCTGCGGATTGAGTAAATGGGCTTAGAAGGATTAAGAGGGGTTCTAAGAACACATCCTTGAGCATGCTTTGCTCTTACTCTCTTGAAACACCCCCCAAACAGAGTTTTATAAGTAGATGTCCTACACTTCTTAACCCAAAAACTTCCAACTAAGCTGTTAAGGTTTTTATACTTTGTTTTTTTTCTTTTTGAAATAAAAAGTGTGTACTGTATGCAGTATAGGCACCTAGGGGTCGCAACCCATTCACAAAAGTATTTACGGTAGGTTTTTGTACTTTGTTAAAGTGTGTCTTGAAGTATTTCTAATTATGTAAATGGTCATTTTATTCAAAGTATATCATAGAGGTTGCAACATAAACTTCAATTCAAGAAGTTTGCAAACCATTTCTCTTTTTGCAACCTTCTATTGGTTTTAACTTTTTGTCTTCTCAATAACATCTATAAGCATGTGCTGACTAAGAACATTTGGGTTGTTCAATCTTCCTTGAACTTCAAACAAGGAGCTTCCTAATATCAGTTATATTTCTTACAGTATTCTTTATGTTGATAGACCAAAATGACTATTTTTTCTCTTTTACTTATGGACAATGAGATTTTGCATTAGTTACATGGTCGCTGATAAGTTCTGTAACAGGTCACATCAAATTCTGTAAGACTTGTAAGTTCTACAACTAGAGAGCTGCGGGATATATGGAATGCACCTGATGGGTATTCAATTAACGTCGCCACAGCTAATGCCACCCAGGTTTATTTTTTTTCCTCTTTGTATGTCTGCATTATAATTGTTTGTCTTTGGATTTTGCTCTAACCGGTTAGTTTTTCTTCCAATTGAACATAATACAATGGAATGATCACCAGCCTCATTAGTCTTAAGAGTAACCTAGACCAATCTCCTAAGTAAGTTTTTGTTTGTTTGTTTGTTTTCATTCTGTCCTTTGTGGAAGTTTTGCAGAGGATATCTTATCCTCTTTAGTTGTATTTTTTTTTTCTTTTGTGCTTCCTTCTAATAATACCATTTTCCATCAAGAAAATGAAAAGAACTTATTCAACCATCACAAGGATCAAAATGGAACTACATTCATAGAGCCGTCGCAAGGTTGTCACAACTATAATCACAATGCTGTTGAAGTTCGAGTAATAAGAGTATTGTGTATATTTTTATTAAAAAGCTTTTGAATAAGGGTGTGAATGAACTATTTATAAGATCTTCAATGACCATCATACCTCCTTCTATGAGTTGTGGGAAAGGGCAACTTTTTTGGCAATCTTATGGGCACATGGGTGTTAGTCTCTCAGCACTTCGTCAAGCAATCACAGATGGCTCATAGGATGTCAATGTTCTATGTATTAGTTTATTGGTTTATTGATTCTTTGTGGAGTATGTCTTGTTCTCCAGTTTTGTAATTTTCCCTCTCTCTAACAAAATTTCTTTTACTTAAAGAAAAAAAAAAGAGATTTCAAATAGATTAAAGAATTGGAGAAAAGCATTTTTGTCTTAACTTCTAATCCATATAAAAATCTAGGATAAAAGTCTATTCTGCATCAAGGATGAAAGTTTGCATTTTTTGAAGTGACATCTAGTTTGAGATATTAATAATATATGTTATTGATCCAAATGTTTCACTGCAAGGACAGGTTCTGTTGGCAACTGGAGGCGGCCACTTAGTTTATATAGAAGTTGGTGATGGTAAACTAACTGAAGTAAAACATGCACAATTGGAATATGAGATCTCATGCCTTGACATAAACCCCATTGGCGAGAATCCTAACTACAGCCAGTTAGCTGCAGTAGGAATGTGGACAGACATAAGTGTGAGGGTATTTTCGCTACCAGATTTGAATCTCATCACAAAGGAGTATCTAGGAGGAGAAATCATACCTCGCTCGGTTCTTCTTTGTTCCTTTGAAGGGGTATGTTTTCATCTCTCTTTCTTTTGAATATTTGCATGTCTTCATTATTACTCCTGAAGCTTTGTTTATTTTTTTTTCTCTTCTGATCTATACTAGGCTACT